GTGATACTAAAAGAACCATTATCAGAATTAGAATCCACTGATTTTGTGGATCAAATAAGAATTCTTGATGTGTACTCAGAAAACCAACACGAGAATCACATGTGGGTTAATTATGATTTTGTCAACCAAATCATTGATATGTGTACAAATCAGAATCCACTATACAAATTAGACAACCATTTCGAATCACATATGAGTTATTGTGATTGAGGAGCTGCCTCGATTCCCCTTCACCAAAAGTTAACAAATTGGTCCTTCTACGTCTTTTTTTCACTTTTTTCTTTGTAAAAAAACTATCTTATCTAAAAATTTAATCTCACCTAAAAGTTTAAGGTTTTAAAAGTTTAGGATATAATTTATATTATTCTCTAACACACTCCCTCAAGTGAAAGCCTTTTGGGCTTGAAACTTGCCCAGACTCATATTATCTTGTGCTTAATTTTTATCAAATAAATAAGGATAGTGAAATTCGAACTCGTGACTGTTTGATTATCAAGGCTCTGATACCATGTCAAAGAATCATCTCACCTAAAATCTTATCCTTTTAGGTGAGACCCTAGGATATGATTTATATTATTTTCTAACACTCTTTACCCTCTCTCATTGTCCTGTATTTTTTCTTTTTTTTCACAATAACAAGAAGTTAAACGAACTCCACTAACTCAAGCAATCAAAACTCAGGTCATTTATGCTTGAACTGTATGCCATTAGCATTCTGCATCCTCCAGCCTCGATGATGAATCTGATGTTCATTCCAACCCAACCCGAAGTGAAACCAGTACCAAGCAGATACACCATAGATAATGTATCTAGGAATTATCAATCTGATCCTTTTATCCTCAAATATACTTTGTAGTCATCTTTAGGTGTGGACTCGATTGAGAAAATTCTTAAGCAAATTTTCTATGGACAAATCCAATTGAGAATTCTTGTGACCAGCTGGTTGAAAGTTATAGTTGGGTTGAGGATCAAATTTCAAAAAGAATTAAAGATAGGAGACTAAAATTATTTTACCCAGGAACCATAAAAATTAGAGACGAAAATGGTAAGAGAATATAAATTATATATTATGACCTCACTTAATAGCTTAAACTTTTTAAATTGAGATGATTTTTTTATATGATATTAAAGTTTTAATAACCAAGCGATCACAAGTTTAAATTTCACTATCCTTATTTATTTGATAAAAATTAAGCAGAATATACTATGAACCTGTGCAAGTTTTAAACCCAAAGAGTTTTTATTTAAGGGGGTGTTAGAGAATAATATAAATAATATCTTAGAAACTTATGTAACAGTTTAAATTATTTTGTTGAGATGATTTTTTAACATGCTATTAGAGCTTTGATGGCCAAGCAGTCACAAGTTTGAATCTCACCATTTATTTATTAAATATTAAGCACAAGACAGTGTGAGTCTGTGTAATTTTCAAGTCCAAATGACTTTCACTTGAAGGAGTGTGTTAATAAAAATTATTTTGTTGAGATGCTTTTTTAACATGGTATTAGAGTCTTGATAGCCAAGTAGTCACGAGTTTGAATCTCATCTTTTTTATTTATTTAATAAAAATTAAGCACAAGGTAGTGGAGTCTGTGTAATTTTCAAGCCCAAATGACTTTTATTTGAAGGAGTGTGTTAGAGAATAATATAAATAATATCTTAAAACCTCACCTAACAATTTAATTTTTAAAGTAAGATGTTTCTTTTATTGCACTAGAAATCCTCTCATCTAATTAAGATGGGTTTTAACCTAGTTTGATTAGGATCCAACCTAGTGTAGATATAACTTAACTTGCTTTTATTTTTTAGCATACAAACGAGTGTATGGTTCACCTAGTTAATACCCAACTGTGTTTTATTTTTAGTATAGGTTGTGACAGTGTACGTAGACTAGCAAGAAGGGGTGGTTGATATTTCCTTTCTCTTGGCGTTGGGGCAAATTTGATTCTGTTTCTTGTATCACCTTTGTCTTTGAATTTGTATCCTCTGGCTCAGAGTTATGCAATAAGATCTGATTTTATGGTTGCTGAAGGTTTTATTGGGCGTACTAAGAATGCTATAATTTTTTATTTTTTGTGGTAATAAAAGAAGTTTGGGACTTGTGGCTTAAATATATTCAGCGTAGGTTAATATTCTTGTACTGAAGATTCATTAAAACCTTTCTTTTGTATTCTAGTTTTATTGATTATGGCTTCATTTGTCTCTGAATTGAGGTGAAGGAAGGAGGAGGCCATTTTCGTCTGTTTAGGTTATCATCGGTTAAAAGCAAGAAGGATACAACACAATCTGTCACGTTCAATTTTTTTAAAATAATTTTTTTAAATATTTTTAAATATTTTTAAATAATTTTATTATGATAATATTAAAAATAATTTTTTTTTAAATAAAAACGATGCTAAAAAGCACATCAGTCATGCTAAAAACATCCTAAGCACATCTAAAACCATCATCTTGGCGTAAAAGCACATCAGTCATGCTAAAAAAATCCTAATACTCCTTTATCAAATAGATAATAAATTTATATTTTACTAAGTATTCTTCAATAAGCCACCTTTTATTCATAAAAAAGTGTCTCTCAAGTCAAAATTGGCATGTGAACTTAGTGTTGGTAAATTAGAAAGGATTCAACATACATCACTGCAAACTACTCAATTTAATGGAAAGAAAGAAAAATTTTAAATGTGGACATATAAGACAAACTACATCACTTGGTGACCACACCACTCTCGTAGGCAAAGCCATGATTTAGTCAAGGGGGACACAAACAAAAATATACTATTTCTATAGCTTGAGAGCAGATCGGTGTAAAGGTTTTTGATTTTGGTTTTGGGAAGGTTGGAGTTTTAGGGTTTGAGATAGGGGAGGCATATATGGTGAGGTTTTTTTCTGTGTGGTTTAAGACAAAATGGTTTGTATATCTTAATGTTTTCCCAAGAAAAGTAGATGAAGGATTAATGCATTGAACTCTTGAGACGCGGCCGGACCTAGAAATATGAATCAAATAAGATTGAATTTTTGAAAGAAGAATCATATAGAAATTCTAATTTATAACTTTATTATTGAATAATTATTTTAATAGTTTTTTTTTCAAAAAGAAGATTACAAAATCCAAGTTTAAACAGGAACTAACATAGAACTCAACATTAAAATAAATTTCAAAAATTAACTAGAAAAATAATAAAATTAATCAAAAGAAAAAGAATTAGTGGAGTTTTCAAAATCCGATTTTCTTTGAAGCAATCGGGAAGGATTTTCTAGAAATCCAGGGGAGTTTAAAAGCTCAAAGGGCGCGGCACCGACTGAACCATCACTTTTTTAGATTTTCAGTAATTAGAGTTAAAAAATTAATTCAAACTAAAAATTTAAAATTTTAATTTGAAATTTTAAAATATAATTTATATTTTTTTTAATACATCTTCTTGAATAATTTTTTTTTAAGTTTAAAACTTATATATTCTTATATTACTTTATATTTAATTTTTATCAATAAATAAGTAAGATGAGATTTTAACTTGTGACTTTTAGTTATAATCATCTCAACTTAAAAACTTAAATAGATAGATAAAATTTTAAAATATAATTTATATTATGTCTTAACCATTAGTGTACACTTTGCTTTAGGACATCTCTAATTATATAATCAAAAGAAAAAGAAAAACTAAAAAATTAATTTTTTAACTTTTCTTCTTTAATTTTATAGCTTTAGTGGGAGGGTTTAAATGGATTTTTTGAAAAAAAATCCTACTAGAAAAGTTAAAATATTAAAATAAATTGTTTAAATATTTTTTCATCAATTAAACTTTTACTTAATAGCTTTTCTAAAAAAAATAAAAGTAATAATATTGAATATAATAAAATGTAAATGGATTATTAAAATAGCTTGAATTTTCTTTATATAAAAAAATGGTCATATTTATACTATTAAATAAGTCAAATCAATAATTTAGATCTTCTAAATAGCTTTTATAAATTATCGGATATGCTTGTAAACAGTAATAGCATATACTAGCTGCCCATGCAATATTATAAGATCAATTTTTAAATGTATTTTTATTTAATTTTGTAATAATTAAAATAAACATCCATAAAAATAAAAAATGAGGTATTTTAAGTCGAAATTCTTCTTTTTTAGTCACGTGTTCCTTTAACATGTTTTTTTATTTATCATCAAAATGGTTTTTATATAAAAAAATTAAATTTCTTTGTTATTTTTTTTATTTTTACAAAATCATTTAATTTTTAGAAGAATCATAATTTCAATAAAATTTCATCATAATCTAAAAGTAAGTTAATTTCAGTAAAAAAAAACATATCCTTATAGTTTTTGCACAATTGTAAAAAAATAAAATCCAAGAATAATTAGTTTGAGAAACCCATATAAAAAATTTACAGTTAAAAATAATAAAATATATTTTTTATTCTCATTGAATGTTTATAATAATATTTTCTAAAAATTCTTTTTATTTAGGTTCGTAAATATATAAATGCTCATAAAGTAATTATTAATATTATCATAAAAGTTCTAATCTTATTAGAAAAGTACATAATTAGATTTATTTTTAATAATTTTATTACAAAATTAAATAATTCAAGGAAAAAGGTGCAGGACATAAAGTAGGCAATGCCTGTGTGTAGGAAAAGCAATGCATGTGCGCCTAGCCTCTTAAAAAATCATAGGTTCCTCTTCTTCTTCTTTTTTTAACTCGTGCTGAGAACCTTGAATTTTTTTTTTTAAGAAGGGCAATATATCGTCGGCACAGATAATTCATCCAATACAACAAATTTCAGCAATTGAAAATAACTGGCCCAAAAATTTCTCTCTTTTTTTTGTTAACTTTTTGTCTCATTTCCCAACTTTTTATGGACTAAATATAATGAAATTGAAGTTTTAGGATTAAATTATCAACACCTAAAAGTACAGGAACCGAAGTTGTAAGAATAAAAAAATACAAAGGCCAAAGTGTACTTTTCTATGCCCTGGGAATAATGAAAATTGCACAATAGGAAAACAGTGCAATCCATAATTTTTGTGTTGAAATTCTACTTTACTATAATATTAGAGTTACAAAGGCCAAACTTCTTGATCATTGATTTTTCTGCCATAAGAAGACGTACGTATATATTAACAGGAATATCGAAGGAGCCCCTTAGATAAATACATAATAATTAAGGAAAAGAAAGCGAAATCTATCACTTGGATTTAATATTTCTTGGGTAAAAATATTTCATTGAAACTTAAAAACAAGGCTAACGAACACCACACACAGAGAAGAGGCTAATGAAACAAATTTCAAGTTCAGAAGGAGAAATCGAAAGGAGTACAACGTGGAGCTAGCCACGAACTAGCCTACTTGCATGCAACAAGATCAGCTAGTTAGTTATGATAATAGGAAAGCACTGAGTATATGGTTTGTAATGTAGTAAGCGACAGAAGTAAAATCGCAGCGATGAAAGATATAATTGTCCATGGGTTTTTGAAATAGTCTTGTTTCAAAGATGCCTTGTATCCATGCCAGCTTTTGTTATAGTACGCATCCACTTGTTCGCATAATTGGGTAAAATAAAATTCGCGCACAACTACCTGCTTGCAAATGTTGTTAAACAGATCCGTAACATCTTCATAGCCGCCTAAATCATTTTGTATGATTCTCTTTTTCGCAAGTAGTTCGACATCACTGGATGTATCAACAAGACGATCCATAAGTAATGCATAAGACGTCATGTATTGTCCACAACCTTGCATGCTTTGCTCAAAAGCAATCAGGTTCCGGAAGAGTGAATCTGTTGAGTCGTGGATTTGCAATGGTGGGATTTTGAAAACACCATTTTCGAAACTCAAATCCAGTTGATGTTTTGTTGTATCCTTTTGGAACTTGATTCCAGCCGCACAAAGTTCTGTTGCACAAGATATTAGTTTCCATGGCCCGGCCCCGCCTCTAATTAGATCTGCTCTCAGAGAAGAGGGTAGGTAGCTTCTGTGTAAGAGATCAAGCAAATGACATAAATTCCTTCCACTGATTCCGGCACCTACTCCTTCATTGGTATTCAAATCTGGTCTGAAGAAACGAAGAGCCAGCTCCATGAGCCGCGGTTGATCAGCAGCCGTATGCCTCACTATATGTTTGTACAGTTCCTTAAGAACAAAAAATGGAATCTGATTTTCTAGCAACGCCAAGTCACGTTGGAGGGTTGAGATCATCCAAGAAGTCGTGAAGATGGGATCATATTGCCTTTTCGCATCATCATTGGAAAACCTTAAAAAAAGTTCAAGGATAAAGCAACCATCGAATAATAACATTTTAGCAAGATCAGTTCTGTCGTGTTTGATTGACCCTGGGTAGTATGCTCGAACAAGTGCATCATGATTTAGAATGGTCTCGCCACATTCATCTAATGTCTTTTCTGCATCACGTGTTCGTTCAAGCAAGGATAGAGCATAATGCCATTTGTGTTCCTCCATGTCCTGCACATTGTCTGTTCCATGGTGAAGAGGACCAATGGAGATAATTTGAGGATTGTATGCACCAGCATTCATATCCCGAAGCTTACATGGAACCTTGCAAATGCTCCAACCTGTGGACAGTGAAGTTAAGTTTGCAAAGTCCTTTTTGATGTTAATCAGCCAATAATCGCTTTCTTGTTGATGAGTTGGATTTGCTCCCGCCATTTCTTCCAAATTGATTGAAATCCTGGAAAAGAATGAACTTAAATTTTAGATTTCTAACCACAATTTTGTGTGTTTACTGGAGAAGTCTTCTTTGACAATTCATAAATAAAAATATCACAAACGAAAAAAATAAAAAGGAACAAGCCGGTTAAGAAGAAACAAGAAACTCGAACAGAAAAGCCCTGGAACGGCTAATTCTTCTTAGTTAAATATGAAAATAGAGCCTAGTAAATAATCTCTAAGTCAGCAACTTCAATCAGAAAATCATAGAGGACATCAAGCATTGAAGAAAGAGTGTCGGGGATAACCAATACAGCTGCACGATTGCAGGATGAACAAGCTCGGAACTTGGAATAATATGCCGAGGCCAGTACAACCACTTTCTCACCCCGTTGTTGTAAACTAGTTAGCAAAAAGTGAGGTGGCTAGCTCAGCTGCTGGTTCTCTCAATCTCACCAAGAAAGTAGAGGTTAAAAGAAGGAAAGGCTACTAAAAAATAGAGGAAAGGATTGGTTTACAACATGTTGTCAATTATGTTATAACTAATAGTTATAAAAGAGATAAATCAAATCCTGAAAGTTTAACTTGCTGGATTTTAAGTTTGCTTTTTAGTGATAAAGAGTTTGAGTCGTTTTAGAATCATTAAGAAAATAATACTCGGATTTACTAAAAAATAATAAAAATTATCTCATATATTAAAAAAAAATTCCCTTGTACATGTCTCTTTTTTTACTTTTTCTTTTTTTATGTGTATCTATCTCTCTATCTCTATTATACTGTAAATATCTATTAATAATTAGAATTGACATACCATAAAATTTCTTGACAAGGCTATAAAGTTGGGGAAGAATTCCAAAAGGAGAAGTTTACTCCACGCTTTTATATAAAGCAAGGGTCTCATCATGTTAAGATTCAAAAGATGAATAAAGGGTGTTAAAGGTGTCATTTATCCCTGAACTATTAAAACATGTTTTAATCAGTCCCTTTATTGGTATAATAGTTAATTAAGTCCCTCTACATCAGTAATTTTTTAATGTCAGCCCTCTATTACTCAATTCATCAAAACTCCTTTAATATTAGTTGACGTTTATTTATTCAAGAAGAAATAAAGAATTTGAGAAACATATATAGAAAGTTTTACACCATGATCTACAACATTAAACAATCAATAATAACTCGGACAAATAAATATGGATCTTATATGTCTATGATATATAAGACAGAATTTTTTTTTTGTTTTTCCTTAATTTATATTCAACAAGAGTTCAAAGTCGTTTTATCATTGTTAAAGCTTTGATATATCTAAAGATCAGGTAGTTTTGCACCTTCGAAAACCCTTGCATTTACTCTATAACAATTTTTTTTTATTATTATTGTATAATAGATCATAACTTAGTGTTTTTATCAAAATAAATATTTTCAATTCAACATGAGTAATTGATGCAGTCGGAATTGAGATAACAAATAATTATGAGTGGTCAAATGTGAATATGACACAATTAAAATAAATCTACCATGGATAAATTATTTAAACGGCGTAGCAAATATATTTATAAACTTGTAGGAGGTCTAAGCTCAAAAGAAAATCTAGTTACTCTAGACTATAAAAATAGCTAAAAAAAATTATAACTTTATTTCATTATTGAATTAGGCTCAAATAACAATGTCATTTTGGATTTAAGAGTTCTAATTTAGGGGATCAAAGTTTAATTTAGTCTTAAGAATTTTGATTTCTTTTAATTATATTCCTAATTGATTTAGAACTTTTAATTTTACGTATTTTTCCCTTGCCAAACTTCAATATCAATCTTGAATTTCAACTCCTTTTTCATTGTGGTCCTTGGTTTTGGATTTATACAAATTGATCCTAATTTGATTATTAAACTTTCAATTGTTTTCAATTTCATCCCTATCTTCAACCAAATTGGGTCCTTAAAGTTTAACATCTTTTTCAAAAAAAGTTCTTGGTTTTGAATTTCTTCAATTTAGCCCTCAATTGACCCTAAACTTTGATTTTCTTGCAATGTTAACCTTGATCACAATCAATTGACTTTGTAAAAATTATATTTGGTCCTCTAAAATTTTAATCTTCTTAATTAAGCCTAAATGAGGCTCCAAAACTTAATTTGTCACCAACTAAATTTCTAATAAAATTAATTTGACCCATTTAAAGTATAATTAAGTCTTTGCACCTAATTAAATCCTTTAATTGGATCCAAATTAATTCTTAAACATAATTAAACTTTTATTTTCTTCTAATGATTCAATCAAATTGACTTATTAAAAATTTAATTATATCATTAGACTTAATTTTTATGCAAATTTATCCAATAATTATTTAATTTGATCTTGAATATGCATCGTCTCCTCAATCTTGGGTACAAAGAGGTATGATCATGCTCCCAACTTCATCCAAAATTTTCAACTTAATTTTTCCACATATTTGAATTTCTCTCCCGTTTGCTTTTATCAAGTTGCCAATTTTTTTTGTTAATTATTATTATTATTAATTTTTATTTTAGAAGGAAAATTTGAAGGAATAACCTAGAAATAAATTATGACAGGGAGAACAAAGTACATAATTTAAAGTTCATATTTGCAACTTCTTTCGCTAATTAAAGTTTTGTGATTTATATTTGTTTGCTATCTTTAATTTCCATAGTAAATATTGGATCAAATTACAAGGTTTTTGTATAGAATTATTTTTATAATTAATTTCTTTTTTTATTATTTAAAATAGTTTTAAAAATAAAATAAAATTGAAACTTAAGAAACATGTCTGAATAAAAAAAAAGAGAGTTAACAGACACCGTGTGATTCAAAGAGTTAATATTATGTCTTAACAATGCTATAACAAAAGGCTGATATTAAGTACATTACTATAAATTCAATTGGTTTGACGCTTAAGTAAGATTTGAAGTTCAAATTTTGTGTATAAAATATATCATTACGAGAAAAGTTCTATTTTTTAGTTTGCTATTTGTACTTGACTGGATTAATTAGGATTATAATCACTAGAAAGGTTTTATTTTTTAATTGGTTGTTCCGACTTGACTGGATTAATTAGAATCTAGTACGTTTTAAAATATCAAGATTTAAATAAAAAAATTATTAAATACATTAATGATATAGAGAGACTCAATTAAATCTATTTTGAATAGAAGGATAGAATTAAACATGCTTTAGCAGTATAACATTATAAACCTATTGAATAAGTCACTAGTGAAAAAGGTAGAAAAAGAAAAAAGGACCGTTGATCGCGGCGTAGATCGTATGAAACGTTATATTTAAGAAGAAAATGATTTAAAAATAAAAGATCTATTAAAGCAAGAAAAATATAAATCTAGGAGAGAGGAACGAACGGGTAAACAAAGTCCAATAATAATACGAACCAAAATTCCTTCGCATTTAAGCATTTATCTAAAGGAATTCATAGATATCCAAATTAATGAAGTAGTTTCATCACTAGAATTTAGATTTATGTATACAAACAGACAATTCCAAAAGCTTTTCTTAACGTTCACAACAGCAATTGACTATTTAAATCTCTGTTATTTTATTTCTCCTGCTGTTAGATTTTTTCCTATTCTTTCTTGATTGTTTTTAATTTATTTATTATTTTTGTTTGTGCTGGTAAAAGTAAGAGATTGTGTTGTCCTAAGAAACAATATTGCAGGCACCAAGGGACAAATAATAAATTATTTCAAGGTTATAGAATTGTTCTTTTCCTCTATAGAAATTTTGAAGCTCATATTCTGTTAACAAATTTGTTCGTCTGAATCTTTTTTATGTATCCATTTATATATTCTATGTGTTTTTATAGTATAGTTATTAAACCCGATAGATCAACTCGATGGTTAAACCAGTTCGAGTAAGACAACAGACCACCATGAGCAAAAACTTGGTTGACTTACCGGGTTGACCCGTGACCCGTGACCCGAGCGACCAGGCAAAACCTGAAAGAGATTTTTTTTAAAAAAATATGTTTTTACTCCTAACCAAAGATCTCTTTTTAAAATATTTTTTAGTTGGTTATTAATCCTTTTTAAAGTTTATTATATAAATACTAAAAAAATATTTTATTTTTTCAATGTGAGATTTGAAACCCTTTAATACATATAATTTATGTTTATAAAAAAAAAAATTATTTTTTCAGTGTGAAATTTGAAACTATTTAATAGATGTACTTTATGTTTACAAGAAAATTATGTTTTTTCAATGTAAAATAAAAATTTTTTTTGATTTAAATACTCCAACTTAAAAAAATAATATAATATCTTTTCAATCTGGAATAAAAATGTTTTTGATATAATTTTTTAAATTTCATTATTTATAACATGTATGGTTTATATTCACATATATATTTTTTTTAATTTTTTATATGAAATATTAAAATTTTAAATATATTTGTTTTAATTTTTTCATATTAATCCAGGTTAATCTTTATAATTCAAGACATAATTTTTTAACTGCGTTAACTCTCGGATGAGATTTGATAATTATGATTTGCAGCAACCAAATCATGGAGGGAACAACAGTGTTTTTATGAAAAAAACACTTAAGTAATAGTTTTGATGATGGTTCCTTGTATTCGAGAGAATCCGATAAATATTGCCAAAAGTCTACGAGCAAAGAAGAAAAACGAAGAAAGTTACGATGATTTTTTTAAAGTAAACTACAAGTTCTAATAATATCTTTTTAAGTTGTATATTAAAATGCATGAGAGATTTTTATTTATTTATTTCTGAAAATTAGATTTTCTCATTAGGTAAGAACTAAATTCTACAAAAAAAAAAAATACTTTTTTTAGGGAATGGTCATTTGACCCAGTAAATGAAAAAGGAAAAAGAAAAAAGAAGTCCATCTTTCTCAAGTTTGTACTTTAAGAGGCTTGTTTTACAGGGATGAGAAGGGAGAAAGCCATCGAGACTTGAACGTGCTCATAATGGTACACGGGGCCAATTACCCTCCAAACACAAATGGGCACCACAATACTCCATCTTCAAGATCAAAAGTGCCTTCCCACCATGATAACTTTGCTAGGAAGCCTCCATATAAAAATTATGCTATCGAGTCTCCACGAGACTTTCCTCCTCTTCCACCCAATTCCTTCCGGGATAAGCGTGATAACAAAGAGTCGATGAACAACGCCGCATCTCAACCTTCACAACAGCTGCCGCCACTGCCACCAA